ATGTTAGCCCTTTCTCCTTTTCTTTCTTTTACTTTATCAAATACATATGCTGCTAGAGGAATGCGGAATAAGGTTTTGAATTGCTACAATATCTATTGAAAAACAAGTTTTGGTGTTGTTGGATCGAAGTGATCGAATATGTGTTTGTCTTAGTTTATGTGTAATGACATAGAACATGAGCCAAGAGCATCTGAAAATCGTGAGTGTTTTCTTGCAAAATCCTACTTCTATGTGTGAAGTTTTATGTTATAGTTTCAAAGGTGCAAAATTATGTTTGACTTGAAGTTTTGTGGAGTGACAATGAAAGAAATTTGAAAAACTATAAAAAAAACATGCTTACAACGGGATTTTGAATAATTTGTAACTTGGGAACTTATAAGTCTCTTAAAAATTGCTATTATTTATTTATAATTTTCTAATTCGTGTGATAAAATTTATGATTTATAACTATGTTATACGGAGACGATCAAAAGAAAAAAACTATGTTATACGGAGTATATTTCAACATTAAAATATCATCATATAACATCCCGTGCAACGCACGGGTGGAATACTAGTGAAGATTATGAGAAAATATTATTCTTCCAACGTAAGCTATTCTTGTTTTTTAGAGTGGAGGTTGAATCTCAAGAAAGCTTTTGAGTGTTGTAGAGAGAGCAAAAGTTATTCGGTTGTTCTTCATCATGTATCTTTTATACTAGGGTTGTCTTCCCGTTGGAGGAGGAGACAACTGCATTGAATGTGCGTACTGTTGAGTTGACCAGTTGGGGCCCGCAAGTTTGGCGGCTTGCTATTTTGGGATAGGCTTTCCAGGAATCTCGGTCAATCATCAGCTTTAACTCTTTGGAGTGTAGATCTCATTAAATGAGCATTAAATGCGGTCCTGTAGCAATTCCGTTGAGTAGAGCTAGCCGTTGAGGGAATCTTCCGTTGAGTACTTCGGCTAAGCTTATGTGAGAATTTGACAAGTGTGAGGACTTCTGTTGCCGAGTCCAGAGAGGCAGATTACAGAGGGCCTTGAGCACTTCTGTCCAGTAGAGGTCCAACAGAGGGGCAAGAGCACTTCTGTCAGGCAAACAGCCAACAAAGGGCCTATAGGTCTTCTGTCAGTCGACTACTCTAGAATGCTTACACTTGGAAAAATTCTAATACACAAATTCTAATGGGGGTACTCTAAAGTTCAAATTAATCTAACATCATCAAAATCTAAATACATTTATTCCTTACAACTTTCCATAATTGTAACCTTCAAATGTATTAGATACAGATACAGATACAGATACAGATACAGATACAGATACAGATACAGATACAGATACAGATACAGATACAGATACAGATACAGATACAGATACAGATACAGATACAGATACAGATACAGATACAGATACAGATACAGATACAGATACAGATACAGATACAGATACAGATACAGATACAGATACAGATATAGATACAGATACAGATACAGATACAGATACAGATACAGATATAGATGCTAAATATTACTTACACGTTTGGGGCACAAGGATTATATTTCAAAATCAGTATTATTCGAGGGACTAAAAGTTCAGTTTTCCCTATATTGTAATTGAATGTGCAAGTACATTTGTCAATAATTCTAAATCTATAAAAATACTAACCATTTTTTCGTTTATTCACATTTACATTTGTTCCTAAAATGAATTTGTGCAAAATGAATTATAACACAAAGTGTTATGTGCATTTCTTAAAGAGGAAAATAATTAAAATATCCCAAACTTTGAAGGGGTGTGAGATAAACACTCCAAACTTTCATATGTAATTTAAATACTCCAAACTTTATATAAAAAGTTATTTTAGCACCATAGTCATGTATTATTTTTGTTGGGTAAATGGCCCAAGCGGGGGTTTGGCCCATTCTCCCTAATTAGATGAACATCTTGGGCCCAGAGGAGTACAACCCAAGGAGCGGGAGACGTACGTCTCCTCCCCTGGCCTAGCGACGGAGAGCCTAGGCCGAAGGTCATCCAATGCTAGGAGGCGACGGACGTCGTCACCCAGGGTCCATCTCAACAAACGGCCCAGTCCCAGCGCCAAGGTAAAATCGCACAAGGGTCCATAGACGGACGGCTAGAGGCTCCTTGCTGCTTCAGTATGGGCGACTCCGGATCTAGCTGGACGAACGTCGTCACGGATTAAGCGGGAAACCCAGATTCTGGCGGGAAGCGCATTTAATGATGGAGATTCGGTGGTTGGGACTCCATCCACTCGTAATTCTCCACGTCAGCGTAACCAACTGCCCATTGGTGGGTATAAATAGAAGCATTTATTTCATTGTAAATGGTTAGCAACTTTCTATTCTTAGCACTCTAGCTTATAGCCTTCTTACTCGCAGCACTTCTACTGCCTTGTAAGACGAACGGCCGACGAGCCTTTAGCGAAAAGTATTGTATTGGGGAGTTATTAACAGATTAATAATACCTAATCACTTACTTGCTACTTATCGTTTCTTAATCCATCTCACTTGTTAGTTGGGCTAGTTATTCATACACACTCCACTCGAAACTCTCGGGCCTACGTGTTGGACCCGAGGGTTGAAGGAATAAACCTCAACACTGGCGCCGTCTGTGAGTGCTGTACTGCTGAAAGAGGCTGAGGGCGTTCAGCGGCCAATATATTTTGTAAGCAAAGCTCTGAACGGCCCAGAGACCAGATACACGCTGATGGAAAAGACGGTCCTCGCCTTGATCGCATCCATCAAACGCTTGGCACCATACTTCCAGGCATACCCAATGACGGTCTACACGACACAACCTCTCGCCACGATCCTCAGGAACCCCATGGACAGCGGGAGAATAACCAAATGGTCCCTGATGATTGGCCAGTACAATGTAGAGTTCAAGCCAAGGCCAACGATCAAGGGACAGGCCCTGGCGGATTTCATTGCCGAATGCACGACGCGCATTGAGGACGAACCCCAAGACGACAATGATTTCAACAACTGGTGGGAGATGTACACCGATGGGGCCTCGAGTGCGCGGGGTTGTGGCGGAGGAGCGGTGATTACTTCCCCCGAGGGCTTCAAAGCCTATTACTCCATGAAGTTCGAGTTCAAAGTCACCAACAACGAGGCTGAGTACGAGGCACTTATTGCGGGATTAAAATGCGCGAAGGCACTCGGAGCAGCTCGTCTGAAGGTGAGAATGGACAGCCAACTGGTCGTAACCCAAATGAATGGGACGGCCGAAACCAGAGAAGAAAGGATGAAGGTGTACAAGGAACTCGCGGAGGAGCAAACCGCACAGTTCGAGCAGGTGATAACCGAGCAGGTGTCACGGGTGGAGAACGCCGAGGCCGACATATTGTCCAAGCTAGGCAATCCCCCGGCCGATGACCCTGAAACAAGTATCCCCCGCCACATCAGGGGCTTCGTGAGACAGGAGACGCTCTCAGCACCGGCGACGGACGTCATTCAGGTAAATGCCATCTCCATCGCCGAACCCAATTGGTCGAAGGAAATCGCAGACTACCTCAGGGATGGGACGCTCCCTGAACCCGAAGATGATGGTAGCACGGGGAGGGTAGCTTGGGTGAAGAGGCGTGCCCCCAATTTTGAGCTGATTGACGGGCAACTCTACAAGAAGACGTTCGGCGGGCCGTACCTGAGGTGCCTTCCGCCGAGCTTAGCGGCTGCAGTCATAGAGGAGATCCATGAAGGCATCTGCTCGAGCCACCAGGGCCCCCGCACCTTGGCCCGGAAGATCATTTTGCAAGGCTATTACTGGCCGACCATTTTGCAAGGCTATTACTGGCCGTCTATGCTAGCAGTACGCCCCCGTCCCCGGACGGCCGGCAAGCTTCTACACCCCGATGACGATCGCACTACCCTTTGCCAGATGGGGCATAGACCTGCTAGGTCCTCTACCAACGGCGACAGGAGGAAGGAAATTTGTCATTGTGGCAATTGACTACTTCACGAAGTGGGTAGAGGCCGAACTACTGGCCTCTATCACCGAGTACCAATGCCAGAGGTTCGTCTGGCAGAATGTCATATGCCGCTTTGGAATCCCAGAGCAAGTCATCACGGACAATGGTTGACAGTTCGTCGGGCGGGGATTTGAAGCATACTTGGCCAAGTGGGGGATCAGACACTCCAAAGCCTCGGTGGCGTACCCACAGGCCAACGGTCAGGTGGAGAATATGAACCGAACTATCATGGACGGGATAAAAAAGAAGTTAGAAGACTATACATCCACTTGGCCGGAGCAGCTGAACTACGTCCTTTGGACATACAGGACCACCCCAAGGACGGCCACCAGTGACACACCTTTTGCCTTGGCATACGGCTTTCAAGCCAAGGTGCCAACAGAGGTACTGGTGCCCACGCATCGCACGAAGCATTTCCACCTAACATCAATTTGGCAAAGTTGAGTGAGACAGAGGTAATATAATTTTTACATCGCACCATTGTTGATACTCAGGCCAACATCCCCTCTTACGAACCCTCTCATTACTTATGTTGGCTAACATGGCTGCTGGACCTTAATTTAGTACTAACTGTTGGTTGAATTTTGGAAAGATTTCATGGATTTTCAGTGTCTCTAAACAATAATAAGGAAGTAAAGATATTAATGGTCAAACTTGTGTATTACAAATGTGAAAAGTAGACTATTGCCAATTAAAAAAGAAGAGAGGAAGTATAAAGATGCTTGTTGAAAATGTTGTTCTAAGGTTGTAAATGACTTAGGCGGAATTGTCATTTCTCATTTTCATCATTTTCATTTATCCCAGTGCCGTAAAGGCTCCCACCTACGGTGAAGTAAGGGGGAGTCAGATTTATGAGGTCTTATCCCTGTACTAAAGCACAGAGAGACTGTATCCGGATGATCCATAGTAAAAATCGCGTCCAAAATTGCATGGACTGACTGCTGCTTCATAACAAAGAGGTGCAAACAGTTTAGTGAGCCATTTTGCTTTAATCCATCATATTCTCAAGCAAAAAAAATGAATCTTTGACTCCATCGCAAATGACGGAAAAGTGGAATTGTCATTTCTAATATTGAAAATTTGTTTGACATAATACACTATTTCATGTAAGGGATAATAATGATGGATATATAAACTTGAGTTACACCACAAAATAAAAGTAAACACCACAAAGGCACCAATTATCTGACAAAACATGTGATTGATATTCTTGAGTTACATATACAAACAGAACTCATGACGGTGCACCTTATAAACTGATGCAAATGTCTAAAATTTAGGGAATAAACTCTTCACGCTGGAGATGAGACATTCGAAGTCCGTGAAGATAACTTCTGCTTTTGGAGATGCACGAGGAAAGGTGGTCATCTTCCTTTTGAATTTGGATGCTAGAGATGTGTCCATATCTACCGATTCTGTAATAGTAAATTCTTCAAGGGCAGGAGACCTTGAAAGGATAGTTTTAATAAAGACCACTTCCTCCTCTAATCCATTAAATGACTCCATCTTCACCGATTTTAGCTTGCAAAGATCCCGATCATCAAACCAACTGTTTGGATCTTTCAAAATACTCAGATCAGGGAAATCGTCTTCTTCTTCTTCTTCTTTATATATGCCATGTGACTGTAACAGAACAATGTCAAAAAATATTAAAACATAAATATCCAGCTCTTAATAATCAAATGCACAGGCCAGCTGTAGGATATTACAACCTTTGGTTTGATCTTAATTCCTAGTTCAAGTAGGTTTGGACATTTTTTAAGCAACTGAATGACAACAACAATGTGCTTCTGGCAGACAAAAGCAAAATCATATAGCTTAATCACTTGCAGATTCATTGCAGTTGGAAGCCGCTCTTGGATATTTCTTGCAGGTTTGACCTTCATACAGTAAAAACAAATGTTAACCTTGAACCAAACAACACAACAACAAAAAAATTCACAACATTATTCACAGATGAAAGGCAAGGTTCTCACCAAAACCGAGTCTACCGTCAAACAAAGAGTCGTAATCCCTAAAAAATGAAGTTCAAACCATTTCCAATCAATAGTAGACTTAGAATAAAGGATCATGAGCCTTTTAAGTTTCGGAGCACTGAACACAAAATTATCTATCCCATGACACAAACGTAGACTGAGCTCCTCAAGGTCAGGAATGTTAACACGGAGAATTTTACTAGCCTTGACTTTAAACTCAGCAGAGGTGAAAGCTAAAGTGGTCACACCAGACAATATACCACCATGTGGAGCACAAACCGGGACACACAAATCAAGACCCTCAACATACAGCGTCTTTATTGTAGGGCAGGAAATTATGCAAAAAGGTATTGTGAACTTCTCGCCAATGTCTGGATTAGGATGAATACCTAGGTAAAGTTGCTCAATACCATTTCTTGATAGAAATAGACACCAAACATCAAGATCAGACTGTTCAGGAGTATGGTACTCTCGGTAAAACCCCAGCATGAATTTCTTAACTGGCCCAGTACGGAGCAGAAGAACGTTAGTTATAGTTTTCACTATATACTTGAAACCATCCTCATCTTCCTCTCCCCGTGGCCAACCAAAGACAAGCTTACTATGCCGCAACCAAACATCCATCCATTGCCTTGAGACAAGGGCAGTTTTGGCTGCGCTTGTAGTGTCTAAACGCTCCAATATTCTGTGCTTTAAATCTTCCGGCAGTTGACTTATGAGATCCGACCCAGGTTTGGTTCGAGGACGACGACGAGCCATGAGTTTGAAACAGCTCGGAAGTTTGTAAACAAATCCTTCAACGAACTAAACGATCTACAATTCAGTCCCAATTTCCGGTTTTAGCAGCATAGCAGTCATTTCTGGCATAGACAAGAATCCAGGGAACGCCTTGATGAGGCGAAAAGGGTATGGAGTTCTATTCGAAATAAATGGAGATGCAATCAAACATTAACTTCCCAGCCGTCGGATATCAAAAATTAATTTCACGGTGTCGTGCTCGCCGATAGCAGACTACCGGAGAGTAGAAGCGGGGAGTGACGTGAGAGGGCCGCTTATTGACTTATTGTGTTAGGCTGTTAGGGTTGGTTTGAAGGCGGAAACCCGAAAGTCGAAAACAAATACGGAGTATTAGAGCCGTTTGGTTGTTGGGTCATTGAGTGAAATAGAAGTATATAACAGCATAAACTAAGGGTGAGCATAAAAACCGCACCGAACCGGTACCGAACCGGCCCGTAATGATATCGAACTGAAAATCGAGTATTTAAATGGTTCTATAAAATTTTATCCTGAACCGAAACCGTACCGTTTCACACGGGTACGGGACCGGTCCTAGATTTTGAGAACCGAAAAATACCGGACCGAACTGTTAAAAAATAATGTCTTTAAGATTTTTTTATAGACCAACAACTTTATGGCCCAAGTATGTTTTCATGCATCCCTAAAATAGCTAGGTGTGTGTTATATAAATATTGTTATTTTTCCCTTTTAGATGATTAATTTATGTTATATTTGGTATATAATGAAAGAATGCCAAAGTTTTAAAAAACATTAATGACTATTAATATCTAATAATGTAGTGTATATGACTTTTGTAGTATCATATTTGTGTAGTTTTATTTTATAACTTAATGGGAAAACTGTCAAATAGGTCCTCGAACTTTCATAAAAAAATCAATTAAGTCCTCCTATAGCAGACTCTGTCCGATCGTCGCGATTTGGGGCGGTTCCCGGTGGAATTTTTTGTAATGAAATTTTTTGAGCATCTTATTCATCAAGTCTAGTTTACTCATACCAAATTTCAGCTAAAATTTTAATCGGGAGCGCATTCAAATTAATTCGAGAACGCAAAAATGCGCAGTTATCTTCAAGAATTAATTTGAATGTGTTCCCGATTGAATTTTCAGCTGAAATTTGGTATGAGTAAACTAGACTTGGTGAATAAGGTTCTCAAAAAATTTCATCAAAAAATTCCATCAGGAACTGCCCTAAATCGCGACGGCCGGACAGAACCTCCTATAGAAGGACTTAATTGACCTTTTTATGAAAGTTCGAGGACCTATTTGACAGTTTCCCCTAACTTAATTAATATGGTTTGAATCATAACTCTTACGGTTCAACTATGAACTATATTAGAATTAATATTCAACTTAGAACAAAGAAGAAGAACATTAATTATTTGTATTCTATTCAATAATTTAATGATATTCTTTTCATATGTTCTCGTGAATTTAATAAAGATGATATTATACGATTGAATATTGTCATTTTGCTATATTTTTACTAAATGTATTTCACTGTTTGAGTGTTTTTGAATTTAAATACAAAAATGTCAGCCTCTTGAATTTTATCTAGTATTTGTCACAAATATTTGTCATTTTGCACTTTCTTATATTTTTATCAAAGTTTCACGTCAATTGGTCCGTGCAATGATATCTACTAATTGCGAAATTTGTTCAAATGTTTCGGCATGTGTTTGGCATTGTACCAAACCGTTTTGTACCGTTCTGAAACGACATGGTACCGAATGGTTCTATCCTTAGAACCGTACCGTACCGAACCGTTAGAAACCTCATGGATACATTACGGATTTTATTAATTTACCGGACCGTTCCGTACCGTGCCCACCCCTAGCATAAACTGGGTAGGCTATTTTCCTAATTACGTAGTAAATAAGAGCAATTGTCCCAGGATTAAATCTAAATATAATTTTCTCCAAAATAATCTAAATATAATTGGACTAATAGGGATTCAAGCTATTTTTTTCCTAAATAAGATTAAACTTAATTTTCTACTCTTGATACCCTAATCTAATTAATTATTTTAATTAATTGTATTTTAGTTCTCTTGTATAATCGATTCCGTGATTGTAGCGGTTGCGACCAGCAGCGGATGCATTATTGAAATTTTTAGGGGTGGGAAAAAATATTGAACTTGCATGATGTCGAACTGAAATCTGTATGGTACCGACCAAAAAAAGGGTTTCAAACGGGTCTCAAATTTTTTGCCCCGAACCGGACCGGACCAATTCTTAACTATGTCATGATCGATTTTCATAAAGTGAGAATCGAAATCGGACCGGACCGGACCGATATATGGTTTAAACGTACATGTATATACCATTATGTTAATTTATGTTTTGAGATTTATGTTTTGTATATCGCAAATTAGTAAACATAAATGTACATCTCAATTTAATGTTTTGTGATTTGTTTATCAATGTTTTGTGATTTATAATAGTTTATATTAAATTTATTAATTATGTAACATGAAAATTAATAAGTTGTGTGGATTTCTAGAGCATGACAAAACTTTATTTTTTTCTCAAACGATTGAAAAAAGTGGCATTGTTCAGTATTAGTATGACATGGTACCATCCGATTTTAAAAGGGAACCGTACAGAATGGGTTTAGATCTAAGATTGAACTAAATCGGACCATTTTAATAGTCACAGTATAGGTATGAGCTCGACAAAATATTGGATCGTCCCAGACCATGCCCATCCAGGCACCCCCTAGAACTTTTTAAAAAATTCCGGCGATCGGCGGCCAACAGTGGCAGGCAGCAAGCAGTAGGGGGCTGCAGGCACTAAAGGGTTATATTTATTTAAACACACAAAATTACTCTTATTATTTAGATAATTTAAATAGTACATCCATCCCATAGTGTAAGATGCACTTGACAGTTGACTTTAGAGCAGTTTTTAAGAATGGGGAAAAGGACCAAATAAAATATTCTACTATTTCAAATATATCGCTTAAGCCTTATACTAAAAAAAAGTACATAGTACTATGTATCATATAAGTTCACTTATTTTGAAAAGTTAATCAATTTGGTCATTTATTTAATTATTGAACCGTAATAGTAAGTTTTTTTAATTTTACAAGTATCGTATAAGCACGCTTACTTTAAAAAATTTATCAATTTGGTCAATTATTTAGTTTTTGAACCGTACTAGCAAGTTTTTTTATCTTAAAAATATCCAAAGAATTGTTAAAATTTAAAGAAATATAGATAAAAATTGTGAAAGTTTTCGAAATGTCAAAGTCAATAGTTTTGAATTTTTACGTTTAATTTGTATATTATACATCTATTTAAGAGGTTTTAAAATGTATATTTTATATTATTTACGTTTTAACATTAACTTTTCAGTTTTCCGATTTTTTTTTACTTTAACCTATTTCAATTATTTATTTATTTTACATTTATGCTACCATCTGCGTTCCCAAAAAATTTTACCATTTCAAAAAATTTGAACTTTGATTTTGATCAGTATAAAATTATTAAATTTATAAATATTATACTTTGACGAAAATAATTTTAACAAAAAACATTTTCATATAATTTTTGTATTATAAATAGTTTCCAATAAAAAGATATACTCGGTATTTGGTTAAGAATTTTATAATGACAAAAAAAATGTGATTAAAGTATTATTATTATTATTGTTATTATTATTATTATTATTACTATTATTATTATTATTATTATTAGTATTATTATTATTATTATTAGTATTATTATTATTATTCAAATTTACAAGAATTCTTTTAACATTTATCAATATTCCTAATTTATTATTTTATAAAACATTGTAGTCCTGTTTTTCAATTTAGAACATGTTTTACTCATATTTAATCTTATTTCGACTATTCACACTAGTCAATGCAGTGAATGCACCCGTGCTTACGTATGACGTTAATACATACTTTTACACATTTTACAAAACTAATCCCTACTGGAAAAATTGACAATAAAAATAATCCCAACTAGTTACCTATTTCACAAAAAATAAAATGGGAGTTACCTATTTGACGAAATTAACGTCAATAATCCTTATTGTTACGTATTTCACAAAAAAAGAATCCCTACTAAAAAAGTTTATAATAATAATCCCATCTAGTTAACTATTTCACAAAAATAAATTGGGAGTTAACGTTGAGATAATTGTTGCGTGCTTGTCCAATAAAAATAATATTTTTGTAAGATGTGTAAAAGTGGGACCAATTTATTTGAACCCTTCGGCAGAATTGTCTTTTCTAATATTCGAAATTTGTTTGGGATAATATTCGAAATGTGTATATACTTTTTAATTGAACCCTTCGGCAGAATTGTCTTTTCTAATATTCGAAATTTGTTTGGGATAATACCCCATTTCATGCAAGGGACAATAATGTTGGATATAATGGGTAAACATTCAAGTATTTAACACTGCTTTTGACTAGGAAGAGTTCCTACTGATATCATTTTACCTATGTATTGAGTCTAACTCATTTCGTTAGTGGACTTCTCTGGGCAATCTAGTGCAATGGTTCATAACCAATCTCAATTAATAAACCAGGGAATTTGCAGTTATATGGCAAAATTTCACTTCAGGCCTGCTCCTACCGTCCTACGGTCATAAGTTAGAGTCGTTAGACCATGAAATTAAAAACAAAGGGCCGTGAACCAAAAAATAAAAGTAAACACCACAATGGCACCAATCATCTGTCAAAACATGTAATTGATATATTCTTGTGTTACATATACAAACAGAACCCATGACGGTGCACCTTATAAACTGATGCAAATGTCTAAAAATCAGGGTGTAAACTCTTTACGCTGGAGACGAGATACTCGGTGTCTGTAAAAATAACTTCTGCTTTTGGAGATGCACAAGCAAAGGTGGTTATCTTCCTTTTGAATTTGGAAGCTAGAGAGGTGTCAATATCAACCGATTCCTTAATAATAACTTCTTCAAGGGCAGGGGACCTTGAAAGAATCGTTTTAATGAAGGCCACTTCCTCTCTTAATCCATTAAATGATTCCATCTTCACCGATTTAAGCTCGCACAGATCCCGATCATCAAACCATCTGCTTGGATCTTTCGAAATACTCAGATCAGGGAGATCGGTTTCTTCTTGTTCTTCTTCTTCGTAATATCTGACTTGTGACTGCAAGCAACAAAACAATGTAAAAAAATATGAAAACATAAATATCCAGCTTTTAATAACCAAATTCACAGGTTAACTGTGGGATAGTACAACCTTAGGTTCGATCTCAATTCCTAGTTCAAGTAGGTTTGGACATTTTTTAAGCAATTGAATGACAAGAACAATGTGCTTCTGGCAGAGAAAAGCAAAACCATGTAGCTTAATCACTTGCAGATTCATTGCAGTTGGGAACCACTCTTGGATAATACTTTCAGGTTTAACCTTCATAAGGCAAAAACAAATGTTAACCTTGAATAAAACAAGAACAATAACAACAAATAGCAAAAAATAGATTTTGCAACATTACTCACAAATGAAATGCAAGGTTCTCACCAGAATTGAGTCTATCGTCAAACAAAGAGTCTTAATCCGTAAAAGATGAAGTTCAAACCATTTCAATTCAATACGGGAAAAAGTATACACAACAGTGAGGCTTTTAAGTTTCGGGGCACTGAACACAAAATTATCTATCCGACGACAGGCATGTAGTATTAGCTCCTCAAGATTAGGAATGTTAACACCACGAATTCCACTAGCCTTGGCCTTAAATTCAACAGCAGTGAAAATAATAGAGGTCACACCAGATAATATACTACCATGTGGAGCACAAACCGGGCCACAAAAATCAACAGCCTCAACATACAGTCTCTTGATTGTCTGGCAGGAAAATATGCAAGACGGTATTGTGAGGTTCTCACTGTCTGGATGAGGAAGAATACCTAGGTAAAGTTGCTCAATACCATTTCTAGATAGAAATAGACACCAAACATCAAGATCAGATTGTTCAGGAGTATCGAACTCTCTGTAAATTGAGAAGGAGAATCTCTTAACTGGCCCAGTACGGAGCAGGAGAACATTAGTTATAGTTTTCACTACAGACACGAAGTCATCCTCGCCATGGCAATCATGCCAATCAAAGGCAAGCTGACCATGCCGCAACCAAACATCCTTCCATTGCCTCGAGACCAGGGCAGTTTTGGCTGCACTTCTAGTGTCTAAACGCTCCAATATTTTGTGCTTCAAATCTTCCGGTAGTTGACTTATCAAATCCAACCCAGGTTTGCTTCGATGACTACGACGAACCATTTGTTCGAAACAGCGCGGAAATATGTAAATAAATCCTTCAACGGAGCACCCAATCTACAAGTAAACCAGTCGGCCAGTAAGTCCCGATTTCGGGATTTAGCAGCATAGCGAAGAAACCAGGGGAACACCTTAATGAGGTGAAGAAACTAACTTCTAATCTTAAACCTCGTGTAATTTGTACTTACGTTTCGAAGAAACTGGAGATGCAGTCAAACACTAACTTCCCGGTTATCGGAATTAGAAGTTACTTCACGGTATCATGCTTGCCGGTAGCTTAATACTTGTGGTATTAGGGTTTGATGAATTGTTTGGAAGGACGAAAGTCCAAAACCAATTTTAGAATTCGGGTCGAAGCACTGTAGTTCGGGGTTAACACGCTGAATTATGAACGAAGTAGAAAAATGTACTACGTACTAAGTTTTGGTATTACTTTAAAATGAAAAATTTGTGACAATTTTCCTATAATTTCACTAATAAAATTACATGGACAAAAATGCGATGCAGTAGTTAGTAGTTAGTACTCCATAGTTATTACCATTGTATTCAAAGTTTGTATTGTATTAACTATGAATATAATTATAATCACTAATAGTTAATAGTTATGGAGTATTTGATAACTTTTTTGTTAATCACTTTTTCCCAAGAGTAATAATGTAATATAAGTGGATTTTTTTTAATAATTATATGAAAAAATACAAGTCATTTCAATCTTACTTATTTTTATTATTAAGTTATAGAGCGACGAAAAAAGTTATATATTTGATAATAATCAATGAGACTGATAAGTAGAAAAATAATACGGAGTAATTATAAAATGGGGGAAAAATTCATAAAAATAATCCCATGAGATGTATTCTAATATTAATCCCAACTATGTGTAATTCTAAAATAATCTCAATTATACCAACAGTCTTCCCAAATTAATTAGTCTAGGTGACTTGTGACTTGCTCAATCAGTAAAGAATTAAAAGAAGAAAGAAAAGAGCTGAACAGCCTGGTTCATTATCTTCCCGAGTTATTCTTCTTCCTTCGTCTCTAATAGCCAGCCTTCTCACTTTCTTTTTGTTTTTCTTTTCTCTTTCCCTCCACCGTATAACCAAATCTCCTTCCCACCTTCAATTTCATTCTCAAGTTTCCACCTCAAATTTGTTCTTGGTTCTTTCGATTTCAAATTTGAAAAGTTTAATTCCGTCAATCTAACTCAATTGTGACACTTTTCATAGCGGTCAGTGATGAAACTTGAATGATGGACGGCTGGGATGTATGGGCGGATGGCTACGGCCTACAGAGAACAGTTGGCATGGACAGAGGACCGGCGTCGAACAACAACTTCGATGGCGACGATGAAATCGGACGGCCGGCAAACCGTCATCGAAGAGCCGCTAGAAAGCCAATCGGCTGTTGAAAATCTACAGTGGTCTTGATGGCGACGAAGTAACGCTAAATACCAAGAAGATGAAGTAGAAAGAGAGAAAGGGTAAAAAGAAACAAAAGAAAACGATGAGACTAAGAGGAGAAATAGATACTACCTCCGTCCCATATTAAACTTCCAATTGCGGGTTACGAAATTTGACCAGCGATAAAGTTAAATGATCCTAGTGAAAACTAGGATTATTTTTAGAAAATAAAATTTACATATTTAGAAACTACATCAAACCCGCTACAAAACCTGCAAAAAATAATTCACTTTTTATAAAATTTTTATACACAAAGTAAGAGTTTAAGTGTGATTTAAGTTGACCCTCAAAAAGCGAAATGGAAGTTTATTTAGGCACGGAGGGAGTAATAAAAAAGAAAACAAGAAGAACATATGTGAAAATGAAAAGCAAATATGACACTACGTACATAGTAGACTGAAGAAAGAAAACGGCTTGGACACTTGGACATAGTTGCCTGAGAAGAGGATCGGAGAAAAAAAGGGGAAAAGAGAAAAGAAAAGGAAAGATAAAGGAAAAGAAATAAAGAAATAAAAGGAGAATACAAAAGATTATATATGGAATCCAATTAAAATCCGCCATGTGGTTGGGTGACTGGCCAAAAATATTAATTCAGGTCAGTAGCTCGTTTTTAGAAGATGCCATACATTATTTGGATTATTTTGGAATAATCCATATTTCGGATTAATAGAAGAAGATCATCAATAGTTCGGACTATTCATATGAATTTTTCCTAAAATGGGCTCTTAATTTTATAGACTTAAGGTCTATTTCTCAAGATTTCTTTGGTTTAACAGTTAAATTAACTCAATTTCTTTAAAGAATCAAATAGTATGAAATATTATGTAAATTTTATTTACAAAAATATGATTATAAATTACTTTACTATAATTAATAATATTTTGCTAAACTAGGAAGAAATATGCCAAATATGGAAATAGAATATTGAGGTAAAAAGATGTGTATTCATCCATCTGGTTTGATTTACAAGAATGATTATTTATATACACATATGAACATGCTAAACTAAAATATAGCCCTTAGCCCATAATGTTAAATGATGTACAAGAGTAAAAGCCCATACGGGCTTAACACCCCCCACCTTAAGTTGGAGCATGCGGATTAAGAATGCCCAACTTGCCGAGAAGATACTGAAATTGTTTCTTTCCCAGTGCTTTGGTGAAGATATCGGCGAGCTGATCGGTGGTAGACACATGACGAGCGGAAATCAAACCGGCCTGATAGCATCACGTACATAGTAACAGTCGACCTCGATGTGTTTAGTACGTTCATGAAACACAGGGTTATGAGCAATATGAAGAGCTGAACGACTATCACACCAAAGAGGCATGGAGTGAGAATGGACAATACCAAACGTAGACAACAAGCCTTTGAGCCATTTTAATTCGGCAGTAATGGCTGCCATAGACCGATACTCGACTTCAGTAGACAAACGGAAGACAATACGCTGTTTCTTAGTTTTCCAGGAGATAGGTGACCCGCCCAAAAAAAATGATCCAGCCAGTGAGAGAGCGTCGAGTGATCGGGCAGCTTACCCAGTCACTAGTACAAAATACACATTCTATATCTAGGGTTTTAATATGGGTTCTCATTTAACCGTTATAAAATGTAGGCACGAGGTCATAATTATAAATAACAAAAGTCGAGTAAGTTCATCGAGTAAGAATTATAAATATAAAATATTATCGATAACAGTTGTAAGCTTAACCGACATTGTTAAGTGAAAATGGGGTCATTTAAATAATTTTAGAAAACTTAGTTTCAAAATGGGGGCTCTTTTATAATATTTAAAAATGATATTTATGTCAGGCAATTTCTAACCCTTACGAAGCAGTTAAACTAGCTTGTTCAGCCCCTTTATTTTTCATCACTCATCTCTCTGTTGTGAAACCCTCCAGGAAGAAGACGCACTGCTCTTCGACGGACAACACAACTTCGACGGAGAATACGGGTCAAATCATATCCGATTTTTCACATTTATTTGTCCTCCACGAAGCTTCCTCTTGTCTCCAATGCTCCTTCCTTATGCTCCCAAGCTCCTTCCTCTTCTTTTCATCATGTTTTTGCTTACATGTCAAAATATCTTAATATCTTCTAAATCTACTTTAATTTTAGAAGATAAAGATTACACTGTAATTGTACAAAAGCTAAGTAAACATAATGTAAAACCATTCTAAAATGTGGTGTTTATGCACTACTGAATGGTACACATCAGGATCGTTATTTCATCGCCAATGGTCCCGTATCTATGAACTTGAACGGTCCATTGCCACTCTCTGCCAAGCTGACGATTCTATACCCACATATCACAACAAATTATGTGGCCTCTGGGATGAACTCGCGCTTCTTGACCCTCCTCCTAAGTGTTCGTGTTCTGCTCGTTCTGCCTATCATGCTCAAATTGAGCGCCGGCGGCTTATGCAGTTTCTTATGGGGCTCTGAGATACATATTCCCAACCAAGGAGTCAGCTTCTCCTCAATCCAGAGCCCCCCAGTTAAACGTGCATATTCCCTTCTTCTTCAAGATGAGGCTCAATGTGCACACCATTCCTCTATTCCCACAGATCATGCCGCCCTCCAAGCTGCTGCCCCTAGCCTTCTTGGCTTGCCTAGTTCACTCCCTGCACTGTCACAGTCCATATCACATGACAATGCTGTCCACCATTCAACTCCTGCAACCAAACAGCCATCCCAATCCAGCTATGGGGCCTCCGCAGCTCGTCCTAACCAAAAGAAGCAGCGGTGCACCCACTGTGGCATTCCCGGACACTCTCAGCATGTGTGTTACCGCTTACACGGCTACCCCCAGGGACACAAGATCTACGGTCGCGGCAATACTCACAGTGCTTTTACTACCTCCAAATAGTCCACTCCCGACTCCATGAGTCCTGATGCTATACAACAACTGCTTCGCCTACTACGTGAGGTAAAAGAACCCAAAGCCAACATGTTAGGTATGTCACTTGCCCTTTCTACATCCCTTTTTTCTTCTTCTGATTGGGTTATTGATACCGATGGCACTGATCACGTTTGCAATTCATCCTTATTTACTAGTACTCCGGCTATATCCCCTCATAAAATGCATGTTTCCATTCCTAGTGGTGCTTCTGTACCCGTTCTTGGACAGGGAAGCACTCATGTTTCCCCTAATCTTTTTTTAAAAAATGTTTTATATGTTCCTTCATTTAAATTTAATTTATTATCAGTCCGCAAATTAGCATGTGACTCCAATTGCACTGTTATTTTCTATTCTGACTATTGTATTTTTCAGAACATCTCGACGAAGAAAGAGATTGGTCAGGGCCATGAACGTGGTGGCCTTTATGTTTTTTATGCTTCCCCTCCTTTACAAACTTTGTTAACCATTTCTTCTGACGTTTGGCATTCTCGCCCAGGCCATCCTTCGGAGCATGTTTTCAAGCAATTATCTAGTGACTTAAATTGGTCTACTTTTACTAAACCTTGTCATGTTTGCCATTTATCTAAGTATACACGTTTACCATTTCCTGTTCATCACACACACACCACTCATTGCTTTGAATTAATTCATGTTGATATTTGGGGCAAATATAAAACCGCTAGTCGTAGTGGCATTTCTATTTTCTTACGATTGTTGATGATTTTTCCCGTGTTACTTGGACTTATTTAATGAAATTTAAATCTGACGTTTTTCAAATTCTTGTTCATTTTTTACTATATGTTAAAAATCATTTTCATACTTGTGTTAAAACTTTCAGTTCCGATAACGGCTCGGAATTTAGTCAACCTGCTTTTACTAATTTTCTTTTGTCCCAAGGAATTCTTAGTCCAACAAAATGGGGTTGTCGAACGTAAGCATCACCATCTCCTTAATGTAGCTCGTGCTTTACGCTTTCACGCCGCTCTTCCTATTGTTTTTTGGGGTGATTGCATCCTAACTGCCACTCATCTCATTAATCGCACCCCTACCCCGCTTCTTAATAATAAAACACCTTTTGAGGTCCTCTTTCACAAATGCCCTAAATTTTCACATTTACGCACTCTTGGTTGTTTATGTTATGCCTCCACTATCCCGTGTCGCCCTGATAAATTTGATCCTCGTGCTCGGCGTTGCATTTTTATTGGCAACCCTAATGGCCAAAAGGCCTATTGACGTGCACTTTGTCGTGGTGTGCACTCAAAATAATAATACAATACAACAATTATACGTAGTATAATGAAGTAAGGTTCGTATCCACAGGTGAAGGAACACTTCTCTTTTTATAGAATTAGAAATAAGTAACAAGGGGGGTTTTATGATTGGTTTATGAACTTAAATTATATTTAAGCATGAAGATGAACGAGTTATGTGGTTTAATTTGAGAAGGAAACTTGGTTTTGCTTTTATCCACTTAATGAAATGTTCGTCGATCCCGGTTATATCTTTAACTATCTTCCTCTCGAATACTCAATCGAGAAGTATATCCAATTCATCGAGAGTAGTTATTAATAACGAGACGCGTTCATTAATAAAACTTACTACCGAGTTAGTATAGAACACACACCGTATATTCACTCGATAGTAGCAATAAAATCAAGATGAAAACGATTGAGATTGATAACCTCAACACAAGCGGTTTATTGGTTTAATCAATATAAATAATTCCCCTTGGTTTATTAACCATGAAACACATGCATTAATAACCCAAGTTTACTACCGTGTATGGACCGAATTAATAACAAGCGTATTAATCGACCGATTCTAGTAATAATTAACATATGAAACAAAACTAGTTGATCCTTTAAGTAATGTTCAAAATATTAATATGAAATATGAATAGGAATTAATTAATAGTCAAGGAAGAATATTAAAGAAGATGAATCCTACTATAGTTAATATCAAGATGTTAACTAATTGTCATCTTAGTAACACTCCCCAATATTAACATAGAAGAAGTAACTATTACTATAACTAATGTCAAGATGTTAACTAATTGTCATCTTAGTAACACTCCCCAACATTGATATAGAAATGGTATTTAAAGGAAGAATTAATATTCAAGGAAGAAGATTAAAGAGAATAACTCACAACTTACAAATTCATTAAGCTTCAAAGTAGAAAAACCAAGATGAAAGAGTTTAGCTCCTCATTTGGAGACTAAACATGATGGAAAATATAAAGAAAACATTAATCTAAACTGAGCTAAAGAGTATATGTGAATTGGTATCTAATTGTGAAGGAAAGGGGGTGTATTTATAGGCTTTTTTGGGGTGCAGGTCGGGTACTCGATCGAGTATATATATGTACTCGATCGAGTATGTGTAAAAACCTGAATTCGACCCATACTCGATCGAAATCAGAGTAAAATTTAGAGCCATACCCGATCGAGTATGTCGGTGTACCTGATCGGGTATAGACACTCGATCGTGGTCAAAATCTTCCCCGCATGTTCCTTTGTTTTCGGATCCGATCCGATTTGAAATTTGAACAAGATACCCGATCTATAGGTGATACTCGACCGGGTATAGACCAAAAAATCAGGATCTTCCCTTTGTCTTGTGATTTTGCACCTTCCTTCCACTTTTGGGGTTCACCAACTGTCCTTTGAGTGATAGTAGACCTGTTTAAGCTCAGAATGATCCTAATCTAAATGAATTACATCTAAATTACAAACATAACTATTACACCAAAAGTGTGTAATTTCCGAAATATTAAACAACCAAAACTTACTAAAAACGTAAACATACACATGGAAATTACACGCGTATCAACTCCCCCTCACATAGTTCTTTACTTGCCCTCGAGTAAAGTAAGATGTTTCATACAGTTTAAGATCTTTCCATGAGTTCAAGAAAGAAAGGAACTAAGATCACCAAAAATGATTTTACACACAACATTCTTTCTTGGGTTTTATGATCTTCTATTGCTCCATCTTCTTGCCTCTTTTTCTTCTTCTTCTTCTCTTCTTTTTCTTCTCCTCTTTCTCCCAAGAGATCAAATGAGTTCCTGCACACAACAAATATTTCTCTCATATCTCTCATTTTGCCTAGGAGCCTTTTCAGGTTTTCATCCTAACATCTCTTTTTGTTTTTCCATCCTCACTAACTCACTCATTTTTTTTATAAGCCATTTTTGCTTAGATTGCCCATTCTTGGGTTTTCAACCTAACTAGCATTTCTTTTTTTTGTGTGTGTGTTTACAAAGAGTAAAAGAAAAATCCATGCATAGGACAGTGTAAAATAAAATTACATACCATGACGAGTCTCCTCCCCCACACTTAGTTCAAGCACTGTCCCTAGTGCCCACCTTCGCCGCCATAGTAGCTGCCTCCAAAGCCGCTTCCAAAACCGCCTCCAAAGCTCCCGTTGCCCATGTGAGCATCTCCTCCGTCCCCGCCATCATAACCTCCACCCCTGGAGCTAGATCCTCCAAAGTTACCCCATTGAGTGGGGTCATACCAAGATGGGGGTGGGGGTGGTTGAGCCATAGTGTGAAAAGAGCCTTGATGGGCCATGTAAGAGTACATAGGTCCATAGAACCTACGTTGATCTTCTTCGTACCTTCGGTTGTCTTCGGCCCGTTGCTCCTCAAGTCTTTGAAATCATGTTTGTTGTTCCTCCCGATACTTTCCAACTTCATTGGTCACTTTGTTGAACCCATCAAGTAGTTGTTGGAAGTAATCGGGTGGTGGGGGGACTTGGTTCTGTTCGGGAATATGGTGAAGTATGGCCTTGGGTTCATGTTTCTCGGCTTGAGGTTCTTGGTCGGGTTGGTTTTCGGGGGGGTTTTGGGCTTGAGGTTCTTGTAGGTGTGGTGGGAGAAGGTGTGGGAACTAGTAATGGGGCACATCTCTATTGTAATGGAGTTTGGGGAGGTCCGGGTTAGGCAAGGGGTAATGTCTTACAGGTTTAGGGTGTATGAGCCAATTATATACATGTCGGGGTTGGTCTTCCCCATACACCGTGTGAGAAAAAGTAGCACAACCCGAGTTGCCTAACCAAGAGATGTTCATCAAACAATAGTCGGGTATAGGAGAGTTGTCCGTATACCCTAACTTTGTTGCCAAGTGCATAATCACCCCACCCAATACAATTGGGCCTTTAGCAAAGGTTTCTTTCTTGAGGTGTGCCCACATCAAATTACACAGATTAAAATCCACAGCACGACGGAATAAAACCGCAAACACACGTCCCCCATCCTAGTGTGATGGTTGTTGGGGCGCCCAAGTATACAATTAGCCAAAAATTTTAAAAATATCCTTAGAATTGGATGGTGAACAGTTGGGAGGAGCTAAAGTTCACCTCTCCGGTCATTTTGGTCCAAAGTGCATGACCTATCACGGTGTTGTCCGAAATCTCTCTCTCGTAGGGGACGAGAATGCCAAAATGTTCGGCAAACTCAAGTTTCGTTATTGAATATTCTTGGTTAAGCAAACGAAACGAGAGTGTATCATCCCTAAGATCATCCTCGTTGCTCTCAAAACTAGCCGAACTTATGAACTCATAGATAATTCTTTCATTTGAATTGTATTTCATATTGAAAATAAGGTCCATATTCAACTCATGAAAGAATTTTCTAGTGCTCTTAAGGATGCCTAAATCACGAAGGGCTTTATGGCAAAGAAAACGAGAGGGTTTGACTTGCCTTGAAATTGTAGCGAGGATTCGGGCCCGTTGTTCGGTATCGGTGAAGTGAAAGTCCTCGTAGCCCGGGATGGGTGCCATGGCGTTTGAGCTCTCTCCCCTATTCTTTCTTGGAGCCATTGTTGGTGTTTTTGAGCTTTGAAGATCAAAAATCCGAATGAGGGGTAGGGTTTTTGGTTTTTGTGGAGATTTGGGGAAAAAGGGATTTGTGGGTATAGATATGTAGAGGAGAGTGAGGGGAGTATTTTGGTGGTGGAATGAGATGATTTGGTGGAGGAATGAGAGAGATATGGTAGAGAGAAAGTAGAAAAATGGAGTTTGGGGGAGTTTAGTTCGAGGTTGGGTAGGGTGTTTGGAGAAGATGAAGTGTTTTGGGGTGTGATTTGGGGTTAAATCGCAGGTATACCCAATCGAGTACCCTGCTATACCCGATCGGGTATTGCTCTTTTACCTCATTTCGAGCCTGGTACTCGATCGGGTCTGGGAAGCAGGGACTGTGGGAAGTTGTTTTTCCAGTGATACCCGATCGAGTATAGAAGTGTACTAGATCGGGTCTCGGAGGCAGGGGTATTTTATTTTCGTTTTTCCAGCCTTACCCGATCGAGTAAGGGTAAATACCCGATCGGGTGTTGCTCCTTTTGCATATTTAGGGCCTGGTACTCGATCGAGTCTGGGAAGCAGGTTTCTTCCGGTTTCGCCTCTTTGACAATACTCGACCGGGTATGTATTTGTACCTGATCTAGTATACCTGTATCTTTGAAAATCTTGCTGATTCGATCGAGTATTTGAACTCGGTTTCTCTTTTTAATCTGTACTCAACCGGGTATGTATTTGTACCCGATCGAGTATTTCTCCAGCTACACAAACCCTGCATTTTTTTCTTTTCTTCTCCAAAAAAAAACATGTGGTTAGTTCCCTCTCTCCCTTTTCTCTCAAATTCACAAAAAAGAAAATAAAATCTAACTACTTGACTTGGGTTGCCTCCCAAGAAGCGCCTTATTTAACGTCGTGGCACGACGTTTTATTTTTTTTTCTTTTCATTTTAAGTGGGATCGTGAGCATCCCTCATTTGATTTTCAAAGGCCATGTTTGGCCATGTTTCAGCTTCCTTCTTCGACCTTTTCCAGTAAGGCCGAATTTTCTTCTTCGTTACCACCTCACGTGTTGGTGGTTCTAACTCGCACTGAGGCGACTTTTTAAGTTCTTCTGCTTTCAAAATAGATTTTTTTGGCTCAATTTTTATTTCATTAAAAATTGAGAATTTTTCAGTTTCCTCTCTAACAAAAATATTTAGTGCTGGTGGTGGTTCAAAAACATTTAAAGAACAAATAGATTGATCTTTAATTTGTTTTTCGGTAGAATCAAAGATGTTGAATTCTACTTTTTGATCATCAAATTCTATTGTTAATGAACCACTAGACATATCAATTTTTGTTTTAGCGGTTTTCAAGAAGGGTCTTGCCAAAAGAATTGGTGTAGTTTGGTTATCATCTCCCATTTCCAGAACATAAAAATCAACAGGGAAAATCAAATTTTCTACTTCTACTAGCACATCTTCTACTACACCCTTCGGGTAAGTATTAGACCGATCCGCCAGTTGAATCACTACACCAGTTTGATGTAGTGGGCCGAGTTTTAAGAATTTATACAAGGAATAAGGAATGACATTTATTGATGCTCCTAAATCCAACAAGACCTTAGAAAAATTGGTGTCCCCTATTTTGCAAGGAATGGTGAACATGCCTGGGTCGCTACATTTTTTGGGAAGTTTCTTTTGAAAAATGGCCGAGACACGTTCACTTACCTCAACTTTTTGTTTCCCTTCCAGTTTATTTTTCTTTTTCATTGTGCATAGTTCCTTTAAGAACTTTGCATAACAGGGAACACTTTTAATCAGTTTGAAGAGTGGGATGTTTACCTCAGAATCGGCGAAGGTCTCGTAGATGTCCCGATCATTCTTCAGTTTCCTTGTGGTCTTCAATGCCTCCGGGAATGGAGGGAGTGGTTCATATGATGAAAGTGAGGGGAATTTAGTTTTTGTTGGTTCCTCCTCGTTTGGTTGAAAATCTTCTCCAGGATCAACCCCATTTTGAGCTTGTTTTTCGTCCTCATGCAACTCTTTCTATGTTGTTTCATCCTTCAACATGATTGCATTAACATGTTGTCTCGGGTTTTGCTCCGTTTGAGATGGGAGTTTACCCGAATCTTTTGCCTCAAGTCGGCTCACTACAATTGAGATCTGGCTCATTTGATTTTGCAAGTTTTGGATGCTGGATTTCGTCGTTTCTTGGAATTGAGCCACACTTTGTTGCATCGTTGACATATTTGTAGCAAGTGCTCGGATCATGTCTTCGGTGGACATATTTGAGCTTGAGGTTTGGCCTTGGTGATTTGGGAAGGATTGTTGAAAGGGCTGATTTTGTTGTGGTTGAGGGTTCCCATATCTCAAATTCGGGTGATCTCTCCACCCGGGGTTGTAAGTGTTAGAGTGTGGATCGTACCTCTTTTGTTGATGAGATTGAAAACCCAAAGCATTGACTTGCTCTTCTTGGAGATTTGGGCAAGAATCGGTTGGGTGCCCTTGCTGTGTGCATATGCCGCAGACCTTGACCTCTTGGGTTCTAGGATTTAAGAGAAAATCCTTAACCAAAGAAGTCAAGCCGGCCATTTGACTTTCCAAAGATGAAGATGATTCCGCCGCGGCAACTTTTCGGATTGAGGACCGCCCGTTATAATGCCTAGAATTTTCGGCCAACTCCGAGATCAAGTTTGTCGCTTGTGAGGGGGTTTTGTTGACAATGCCACCCCCACAAGCGCCATTCACCATTGTTCTATCATCATCAACAAGACCATCGTAAAAGTAGAGTATGAGGTCTTGCGCGGTGTAGCCATGATAAGGGCAGCTAGCACATAACTTTTTGAACCGTTCCCAATATTCATATAAGGTCTCATCATCTTTTTGATCAATGTTACTTATTTGTTTTTTCAAAGATGATGAGATGGAGGCGGGGTAGTACCTTTCTAGGAAGCATTTTTTCATTGTTGGCCATGTCTCTATGCTTCCCGAGGGAAGATAGAATAGCCAATCCTTAGCCGTGTCCTTCAGTGAGAATGGAAAGGCCCTCAGCTTGATCTGTTCTTCCGTAACATTATTTGGTTTCATACTAGTGCAAACTATATGAAACTCCGCAAGATGTTTGTTTGCATCCTCGCCCCTTAGGCCATGAAATGAAGGGAGTAGATGAATGAGGACCGATTTGAGCTCAAATGTAGCACCTTCATCAAGAGTGGGGAAGGTGATACATAGAGGTTGTTGGTTTAAGTTAGGAGCCGTGAGCTCCCTCAACGTTCTTGTTTCTTGAGCCATAGTGATTGGCTCTTCGTTCTCGCTAGAATAAGAACTAGCACTTGATGATTCCTCCGAAGAAGTATTTGGAAATAAATTCCTAAACCTCTCGAAGGCTTGTTCTGTTTCAGGGTTTGTTTGGTAGGTGATTTGGTTTATAGATTGGTGTTTAACCATATACTCAAACAAAGCTCAGAAGAATAGAAATCTCTATATTTAGGTAATATATTTTTTTCTTTTTCTTAAAAAAAAAAGAAAAATTAATTGCCTTTCCCCGGCAACGGCGCCAAATTTGACGTGCACTTTGTCGTGGTGTGCACTCAAAATAATAATACAATACAACAATTATACGTAGTATAATGAAGTAAGGTTCGTATCCACAGGGAAAGGAACACTTCTCTTTTTATAGAATTAGAAATAAGTAACAAGGGGGGTTTTATGATTGATTTATGAACTTAAATTATATTTAAGCACGAAGATGAACGAGTTATGTGGTTTAATTAATGAGAAGGATACTTGGTTTTGCTTTTATCCACTTAATGAAATGTTCGTCGATCCCGGTTATATCTTTAACTATTTTCCTCTCGAATACTCAATCGAGGAGTATATCCAATTCATCGAGGGTAGTTATTAATAACGAGACGCGTTCATTAATAAAACTTACTACCGAGTTAATATAGAACACGCGCCGTATATTCACTCGATAGTAGCAATAAAATCAAGATGAAAACGATTGAGATTGATAACCTCAACACAAGCGGTTTATTGGTTTAATCAATATAATTAATTCCCCTTGGTTTATTAACCATGAAACGCATGCATTAATAACCCAAATTTACTACCGTGAAAGGACCGAATTAATAACAAGCGTATTAATCGACCGATTCTAGTAATAATTAACATATGAAACAAAACTAGTTTATCCTTTAAGTAATGTTCAAAATATTAATATGAAATATGAATAGGAATTAATTAATACTCAAGGAAGAATATTAAAGAAGATGAATCCTACTATAGTTAATATCAAGATGTTAACTAATTGTCATCTTAGTAACACTCCCCAATATTAACATAGAAGAAGAAGTAGCTATTACTATAACTAATGTCAAGATGTTAACTAATTGTCATCTTAGTAACATTCCCCAACATTGATATAGAAATAGTATTTAAAGGAAGAATTAATATTCAAGGAAGAAGATTAAAGAGAATAACTCACAACTTACAAATTCATTAAGCTTCAAAGTAGCAAAACCAAGATGGAAGTGTTTAGCTCCTCATTTGGAGACTAAACATGATGGAAAATATAAAGAAAACACTAATCTAAACTGAGCTAAAGAGTATATGTGAATTGGTATCTAATTGTGAAGGAAAGGAGGTGTATTTATAGGCTTTTTTGGGGTGCAGGTCGGGTACTCGATCGAGTATATATATATGTACTCGATCGAGTATGTGTAAAAACCTGAATTCGACCCATACTCGATCGAAATCAGAGTAAAATTTAGAGCCATACCCGATCGAGTATGTCGGTGTACCCGATCGGGTATAGACACTCGATCGTGGTCAAAATCTTCCCTGCATGTTCCTTTGTTTTCGGATCCGATCCGATTTGAAATTTCAACAAGATACCCGATCGAGTATAGGTGATACTCGACCGAGTATAGACCAAAAAAATCAGGATCTTCCCTTTGTCTTGTGATTTTGCACCTTCCTTCCACTTTTGGGGTTCACCAACTGTCCTTTGAGTGATAGTAGACTTGTTTAAGCTCAGAATGATCCTAATATAAATGAATTAAAACTAAATTACAAACATAACTATTACACCAAAAGTGTGTAATTTCCGAAATATTAAACAACCAAAACTTACTAAAAACGTAAACATACACATGGAAATTACACGTGTATCACCTATCGCCTATATGACCTTGAAACTCAACAAGTGTTTGTGAGTCGGGATGTTGTTTTTTTATAAAAATGTGTTTCCTTTTCAAACGGATAGAGGACACATTACAGATACATCTACTGTTCTCCCTCTCCCGATACCCGACTCCGCCTCATCTTCCTTTTTCCCCGATTCTAGCTCGGGTGAATCCCTACCTCACACTTCTCCTACTGCCCCACCTCCACTGCCCTCTTACCCACCCTCTACCGCCCTCTTACCCACCCTCCACCGAGACTACTTCGTCACCTACCCCCAGTCCATCTCTTCCACGCGATAACCATCCAACACCGCAAGCTAAGCCGGCACGACCCCACCGAACCACCAAACGTCCAGCCTATCTCAATGATTATGCATGTAATTTGGTAACCAGCTCTTCTCTCTATCCCATTCATGACTACATCCACCCACGTGCCTATTCTCCCACTCACCTCCATTTTATTAACAACATCACCAAGCACGTTGAACCAACATCTTTTTCTATTGCCAAACTTGACCCTCTCTGGCGCCAAGCCATGGAAGAAGAAATTTGTGCCCTAGAAGCTAACCACACTTGGGATTTAGTTTCTCTCACTACCAATAAAAAACCATTTGGTTGTCGTTGGGTTTATAAAATTAAATATAAACCTGATGGCACTATCCAACGTTATAAGGCGCGTCTTGTTGCTAAGGGTTACTCCCAACTTGAAGGCTATGACTACACCGAGGTTTTTGCCCCTGTCACCAAACTCACCACCGTTCGTACTGTTCTTAATCTCGCCGCTGCCAAACATTGGCCCACCCACCAGCTAGATGTCTCTAATGCTTTTCTCCATGGTACCCTTCATGAAGATGTGTACATGCAACTTCCCCTCAGGTTACTCTCGTAAGGGGGAGACCCGTGTCTGTCACCTTCGGAAATCTCTCTATGGCCTCAAACAAGCCTCACGATCTTGGTTTTTATAGATACGATACTACTAGCTACGGAAACTGATAAGTCCGTATTTAGACACGCATTTGATGCGTGTTCGGGTCGGAATTTGATGATTTTCCTGGCTTTAAGGTGTTGCAAGTCTCAATTTTGGCTCAAGTTGTGTTTAGCAGGCGTTGGATCGAGTTTCATTGCATTTGGAGTTGATTTGAAGAAGTTAGAGTCCGGCAATCGGCGCTTGAGAGGCATTCGGGAAGGATTTGAAGGTATTCGAGAAAGATTTGGAAGATTTGGAGGCCACCGGGAGATTCGCGACGAAATTCTGGTGAAGAAAGAGCAGTTGGATCGACCTCGTAGGCATCCGGGAGCATTCGGAGCAAGAACGAAGGAAAAGTGAAGAATAGGGTCAGGCACGCCGTGCCTGGCAGCTAGGCACGCCGTGCCTGAAGCGTAAATTTTCCTGGGAGCTACTGGAGGCCAGGCACGCCGTGCCTGGCAGCTAGGCACGCCGTGCCTGGCATATTTCGAGGAAATTGGCTACTGGAAGCCAGGCACGGTCGTGCCTGGCAGTTAGGCACTCCGTGCCTGGACGCGAAATACGGATTTCTTCCGTAGGCACGGTCGCAGGCACGGTCGTGCCTGGCACCGTGCCTGGCCGCGATTTGTCCTAATTCGACCGGAATTCGTTGTTTTCTATAAATAAGGCCTCCATAACCCCGTTTTGGGGGTTACGAACATTACGGAGAGGCCTAGGGACGAATTTAACACCGTTTTTACGCTATTTTCTTCCAAGACCCTGGGATTATTTGTAAGTTCATCTTTTTAATTAATGACAATTAATTCTATTTATCTCAATTCTGTTGATTCTTCAATTATGAATTGTGAGTAGTTTAATTAGGGATTTGGGGTTGATGAAGGGGTTAATCATGATCGTGGGTAAATCTTCCTCTGCATGTTCCTTTGTTTTCGGATCCGATCCGATTTGAAATGTCAACCAGATACCCGATCGAGTATATATATATATACTCGACCGAGTATAGACCAAAATCAGGATTTTTCCTTCTTTTTGTCTTGTACTCTTGCACCTTCCTTCACCATTGATCATTTGATTGATCTTGGACCTGTTTAAGCTCAGAATAAACCTAATCTAAACAAATTACAAGAATTTAACAAACTAAACTATTACACCGAAAGTGTGTATTTTCCGAAATATTAAACAATCAAAACTAACTAAAAACGTAAATAAACATACGGAAATTACAAACGTATCAGGATGAGAGTTTCATACTTCACTTCCGTGCTGATGAGGGCTATGAAGACCATGTGCTGCCTTCGTGGGCTGACGAATTTAAAAATATGCGCCACCTAATGACATTTGTTGAGAGGAAGCTGGAGACGTTGACTATAAGTGCACCACTACAGTCTTTGCTATTGGAGAGCCTATGGGGTAGTATCGTCGGGCACACGACGTTAAAAATAGCGCTTCTCGGGAGGCAACCCGAGCTTATTTCTGCTTTTGTTTTTGCTTTTGCTTTGTTTGTTGTTTGGTTGTTTTGCTTTGTGTATTTGTTGCAGCTCAGGGTCTTGTGGTATGGATGATGTGCCGAGGATTACATTGACTCAGTTTAGTTTTGCATCGACCAGCGCCATAGGGAAGTTTCCATGATTCTATTTATTCGATGCGTAATGTTAACTTGAGTTGATCTTGAGCACGCGTGACCCTTTCCTCTTTACCCCTAGTACATAATGCATATTTGGTCATCGAGGGCGATGCCAAAGTTTAAGTGTGGGGGAGTAAATTGGGCATTCGGGCAGTAGTTGTCACATGTGATTTGTTAGAGTTAGCATGCGCAGGTGTTAGTTGTATATTCATAGGAAATTCATGCAAAATTTTTAAAAATTTTTCCTTAAACTGTGTCTTTGTGAGCTGGCTAGCGTTTTGACTATGCTTTTAGAACATCTTTGAAGTGTTTAGGCTTAAATTGCTTGCACTATAATCTAGTTGTTGAAAGGATGAAGGCATTAGTTACCCATTGAATTAATCCATTAATCATCCACCCTACCTGAATAAGACCCTTTAGGAGAAGCCATTTTGAGCTTGACCGTTTATTGTTACCCAATTAATTGAGCTCCATAGCCAAATGACCTGTTTCTTTGCCCGTGAATATTTCTAACTTAGTCTTGATGTTTAGGGAACTAAGGGATTAATTTGCTAAGTTT